ATTTATTTATATTTATCATAAATATATTACATAAAATATTTAGTCTATATTTTAATAATACTTCGAATAAAGCTTTATATAAAATATGTATGAAATATCCAAATAACATTTAAAAAAATGAATATTAATAAATGTTTATCATAAATATTTTGTGCTGTCTGGGGTGGCATTATCACGAGTTTCTAAACGCCGTGCCGAGCGAGTACGAGATGGTTAAGTGACAAGGTCGAGTGGCGTTTGCAATAATTGCAATATACAATATGCAACACTACTCGCGGTCGCGACGCACAAAGTAAACAAGCCCAGAGTCGGTATGCAACCGTCGCTTTATTATATCTAATCCCGTCATCGCCCTATCATTCTTAATCTTCGCACATAGCTGCGACGACCTTGCTCGTAGATTGGTGGCTAAAGGCTGAATCAAACCGACGCGGCGCGAGTGCGGGGGGCTGTCACGAGGGAAGAGCACGAGAGCGTCTTCTTCATGTGCTTCCTTCTGACATGGTCTCCGAGATTAATAATAACAGTAACGAGATCAATAACCACCGAAAATTGACATTGGTCACACGAATTGCAAACTGCACGTACGTTGTACAAAATCTATAAATTTGTTGCAGCAGAGCATCGATGAATTGCTCATACACATCTCAGGCAAAAAATAATCAATTAGCAGGGTTGGGTAGTGCTAAGTTAAAAAGATAAAAGTTAAGTTAAAAAGTTAATTAATTTTAACTTAACTTAGTTACATTTTATCGATAACTATTAACTTTTAATTTGAATTTTTTTAAGTCAACCCTCAGGCACAATACGATGATCGAGGGGATAATGAGTATATAATTTAGTAATTTTATGTCTTTTATATTAGATCTGTTTTTTATTGCTGCACTTTCTGAACTGGTACACACAGTGCAATAAGTTGAAGTGAAACAAGTATATGTTTGATTCACTTCAACTTATTGCACCGGTTTAGACGTGCAGCAATAAAAAACAGACCACTTGTATAATCGTTACTTGTGAACAAAAATAATCAGTGATTCTTTAATAAATATGCTATGAGAGAAAGGAAAAATACGAAAAATTATGTAAAATGGTCAAACTTTTTTTTTGGTTGTTCGTTCGGATAAATTTAACTTTTCACTTTTAACTTTTCAATTACTTTTTTTCTTAACTTAATTTCTAATTCAATTAATTTTATTATGGATTAACTTGTATTTTAATTAAATTAAATTTTCAAGACTATTAACTTTAACTTAACTTAGTTAAAAAAAAAGTTAATTTACCCCCAACCCTGCCAATTAGACGTTGAAATCGCCGTATTGATATCGATTTAATGATCAATTCAATGAATCATTTCTCATTGGAGTGTCTAGATAATTTTGGAATTAATTAGACGCACGGAGTTTCAAAGTAGAAATTACTTTCATTGTTACTTTGCTTGAGAACGTAAATTTCTTGCGGATTTATTAATGAGATGTATTTTTTAATACAAGATATCAAATAGATATATAAAATTCCATTTATTCGAAAGCGATTCTAATACTGGTGGGAAATTCATGAACTATTTGGATATAGAAGAATCGATTGTGTAATAGACTGGGGGGGGGAATTTAAAAATATAGAATTATATCGATATTCTCATTAAAATAAAGTATGCGTACTTTTTGTATGTACATACACGTTTATATTATACAAGCTTATTGATATTACGGAATAACTAATAGAAATAAGATGCACTTCTTAAAGTAGATCTAAAAATATATGTGACGTAATATCGCTGCTGTTTTCAATGAAACAGTTGTATTGCCATGAACAATTGCGAGAATAACAAGACATTGGATTTTAATTGTTCTTTTTTATTTTGTAATCCGAGTATTATTCAAAGGAGAAGACTAATTATGCTAGAAAACGATGGCATAAATAACGTGAAAAGACGAAGACGGATATGAAAATTATAAAAGAATTATCCAACGACGTGAGATAACGACGTGAGCTCGAACTAAGGAAAAACTTAAGATTAGATTTTACATCGTATGGCGCTTAATTAATGTTTTTTTTATCTTATCGGTTCTCCTTTTTAAGTTCTTATAAACAATCCGTATCATATTTTTTAAATTTATATATATATATATATACACACACACACCTACGCACGCATGCACGCACACACATAATACATATCGGAGTTGCTTGTGAGAATGCAAAAGATTCCTGCAAAAGATTAATCGCTAAATCACTTGTCGTATAAAAGCTATAAATGTATATAAGAACTATATTCTCTTCTATAGAACTAGTATGTGATGTAAGCAAAAAGTTACAGTAAATTTGATTAGACGCACTAGTGCGCACTGATACATATTAAAACCATTATACATTGATCAAATTTGAGTGTAAAAGTGAAATGCAAATATTTCGAATTATAAAATACATATTTTGTTTAGCAGCATAATAAAATGTATTGAAGTTACATTAAACATACAATTTTATGTCAATTTGTATAAGATGACTTTAATGTATACCAGTGCATATTGAGTGCGTCCAATTTGAATTTATTATTAGTTTAGCACATACTGTTTATAATTTTATATATATCTTGATGTACATTTGTAAAGTGCTTGTTATAATTATGTACCTGTTAACTTGCATAAAGAAGCGGATAGTAAATTACGTATACGCATCTTAATGTCATCCTAGTAAACGATGATCTACACGTGGAATCATAAAGACGAGTTTATGAATTTTAACGTATAGAAACAATTGTGCTTAAACACTTTTGTCAGATTAAATCCAACAAGATTGTAGAATGAATCTACTATTATTCTTGTGCAAACCTTACAATCTTAATAATTTTGAAATTGCATTCAGTATGTATCTACAAATACTCGTACACACATACACACACACATACACATACGTACAAGCAGATATACTCATTTCCAACAAAGTTGATAGTCTGTAGATGAATATACTCGAAAAGAAAAGTATGTACTTCTTTCCAATATTCACACTGCTCGAGATTTACGAGATAGTATAACAATCAATCTTGTTATACTATTCAATATCATAATCTTTTAACATTTCTTAGATATTACATTTTATATGGAAGATGTTGAAATTGATATTTCGTTGTTTCAAAATGTATAAAAAAATATTGTAATTAATAAACCGATTTAGGCCCAGTTCCACAACTCACGGTTAACTCTTAACCGAGATTCAACTTGTTTCTCGTCTCTTTCCAATTTTAAAATTAGAAAGAGACAATGAATAAGTTGAACCACGATTAAGAATTAACCGTGAGTTGTGGAACTGAGCCTCAGTAAAGCGCTAATTAAATATTTTAGTCAACGATACCTAAACTTAATAAATATTAATAAGTGCTTATATAATTTAGAACTTAGATTTGTAACTTCTTAGCTCATACTTAAAATTTCAGGTATAAACAAATGCTTGAAATGTTATAAAATATTTAAAATGTTATAATATATATTAATTGAATTATAAATATCCAATTATATGCGTATACTTGTACGTCATTATTGTTTAATGATAAAGAAATAAAACAACAATAAATGACATTAGACTTATATGTGAATACACAAAGAAATATTTTGTTAAATTATAATAAAGTAAGAAATTAATATATTAATATATAATGCATGTTACTGTATAATGAAATGAAATAAATACAAATTGGAAATTGTACAAAGGTTATTCAAGCTGAATCCTTGGGGCGCTAGCTATGCTTGATTATTCGATCGTCTGCTTCGACGAGAAGAACTTGAAAATAATGGACGTGGTTTATATAAGTCATCGCTTGAATATCGTTGATGACTGGTCCTAACACGGCTGCAATTTGAAGGAATAATAATGTTAGACAGAACCTTCTCAAATGATCCTTTTCGAGAAACTAAAATTTATTTAAAACAATACAGTCAATCCGCGCGTTTGTAGAATAGATACAAAGCATGTATAACAAAATAAATATAACAAGTATATAAGTAATTTTGCACTATGTAAAAATTTCGAAAAAAATGTAACATACCTCTTTTCTTCTTTGATCACATTAGTCGACGCTGTTTTATCGCTTGTGGCAGACACGTCGCTATCAGGACTCAAAGGCATGACAAAGTTCTCGCCATTCGAGATCCCTTGTGAACTACATACATTCGAGAATCTCGGTTTCTTAGTGTATTTCCTCTTTTTGACGACGCTTACAGCGTCTTCATTGGGCAAGGATGACAGTTTCTGCTTATAGCCATCATTATTGTTGTCCGAATTATTCACTAGTATGTCTGACAAGGGGCTAGACGAACGTTTGCGCAATTTCGGCAACGGCGGTGCCGCCATAGACTTCGGTATAGAAGAAACCACCTTACCACCTAGACTCTCTATTATGTCCTCCAAAGATGAGTTCTCTACAAGTTCTAGAGATTCTAAGAAGTTGGAAAACCTTTCCGATTTCTCATTATCAGTCTTGAAATAACGGCAGTCTTCGTTATCCTCGCTGTTCGTGGAGGACGAAGATTTATTTTCCATACAATCAGTATGTGAGTCTATTGTATCAGCTTTGGATGACGCATAGGTTTCTGTTTGCTTTTCATCCGGTAATTCTTTATTATCGTCTCGTATTTCCAATGGATTATCATTCTTCACTTCTTCGTTATCATTCTGTGTTTCCACTTGATTATAATCCCGTGTCTCCATATTCTCTTCTGTTGGTCGTTTCACGTTGCTATTTCCCTCATGCTCCAAAGGTTTCGATTTTTCTGGAGCTGCGGCTTCTTCCAGCATCTGCAAAACAGATGTTTCATCTGCTTGTAGACGATTTTCTTCGTCAACAATTAAACGTTTTAGTGCTTTGTTCTTTGAATCTTCCTCAATGTCATCCTTATATCTCTTTTTAGAGACTTGCGAATCGTCTACACCTTCAGCACGCTGCGTATCGTGTTTCTCATCAGTTTTGGAATCTTGTGTGGCCTGTGTTTCTTCTAATGGCGCATTTGATACTATCCCACTTGAAGACTGCCTTATACACAACTCCTTTAAGAGGTCGTTTGTACAAGACTCGGTTCCTGGCATTATTATCGACCTCTCGTCCAACATTAAAGGAGGTTCGTCTTTCTCGGGATAAGGTTCTTCGTACTCTTCATCGGGAATCTCTATAATTTGTACTCGTTCATCGTCTGGCACGCCCTCAAGATTATCGGCGTTCTTCGTATTCGATTGACTCGTTTGATCTGCTTCCTGTACAATTTTCTTCTCTACCTTCTTATCCTCTTTAAGTTTTTGTTTTTCCATTTGTTTCCTAATTTTCATCAGTTTCTTAGCTTCGTGTATGTTTTTCGCAAATTTCGGTTTCTTGAGTTTGACATCAGGAATTGAATCATCATCTTTATCTGACAGCAATCTCTTCTTTAACGGTAGATTTATGTCACGTGGGTCTGCGTTTTCTTCTTCTTGTTTATCGTATACTTCGTTGCTATTATCAGTCTCCACCTTTGAATAACTCTTTTCATTTGTCAGTAATTGCGAACTGATTTTATTAGATAATTTACAATGCAATAACTTTGAATCATTCACTTGCGTTTCCTCGATACCATCCGATGTTTCGCTACCAGAATTACTGACATGATTATCCTTCGTCAAATTCGAAGTGTTCGATTTATTGCTTGTTACGTTGGAATTCGAATTGCTGGACGGTGAGGTTTTATTACTTGAACCGTTCGAACCATCCCTATCCGTAGAACGTCGATCATTCGAATTTTTCCGTAAACTTGAGTGGTCGTCCTTCGTCTTGGATTTTTTATCGTCTCTACGCTTTTTATCCTTAGACGGGCTATCGGATTTTGACTCCTTTCTACCATCTGATTTCTCGGCGCGATCTGAACTCTTGCCCTGTTGTAAGTGGCTCTTCACGTCCTTCTTACCGTTTGTCGCTTTCTCGCTGCTCGCCTTGACATCCTTTTTCACGTCTACCTTTCCACCCTTATCTTCTTTCTCACTTCTGGAAGCCTTCTTTGAATCTGACTTGTCAGATTTGTCTGATAAATCTGACTTGCTACTGTAATGACTTTTACCTTTACTCTCTTTCAGCAATCGTTTCTCATCTCGTTTTGCTTTATCCTTTGAATCTGATCGTTTATCTTTTCCATCCACAATCTTTTCCGACGTCTTGCTACTTTTACTTTCGTGATGACTCATAGGATTTTTTGACGATGATGATGATGATGATGAACTTTTGTGCTCTTTCTTATTTGATTTTTTATCTTTAAGGGGATCCTTTTTATCTTTAGTCTCTTTAATAAGTTTAACATCTTTATCCTTGTTTAATTTTTCTTTCTCAGTCAATTCCTTCTTCTCTCGAAGCTCTCTAATTTTCTCCTTATAAATATCTTTCAAATCTTTCACTTCCTTATTAACATTATCTTTTTTATCCATTTCCTTAGGCTTCTCATCTTTGAGTTTATTACTATTATCCTTTAAATTTTCTGGAATATCTTTAATTTTGTCAGAACTTTCCTTGACCTGATCAATTTTATCTTTAGGTTTACTTTTACTGTGTTTATCATATTTCTCATTGTTATGTTTATCATACTTTTCACTACTTGATTTCTTTCTCTCGGTACTTTTATCTTTGTAATATTTTGTCTCCTTATTAGCAGCTTTTTCTTTTGTGCTTTTTGATGATTTGGTGGACTCGCTGTCTTTGCTCTTCTCTTTATTCTTATGCTCATAT